GTTGAGAAGGTCATGCATGACAAAACATGATTCCAATCCACTTGACTGTTGAAAGAAAGACCTTGATAAAAGATCATCAAAGTACAATTCACCAATTTCTTCTGGACTCTTATTATGTTGGGGGCATTCTAGAAAATTTTCAGCTATCCATAACAGAATTATACTCTGCTTGTCAAACTTGTAATCTTTGGGAAACAAAGCAAAATAAGCAAAACATCTCTTGAGATGCGAAGGAAGGTGATGATAGCTCAGTAAAAGAGCAGGCATAATTTCATTCTCTTCTATTGGCGTGTCCCATATCTTGCTTACCAATACACATTGCCATTCCGAAAACAATGACTTTGTGTGCAGAAGACTTCCAATTGCTTTCAGGGCTAGAGGTAATCCTTTACACTTTTTAACTATCTTTATGCCAATATCCTTCAGCTCGGCATTCAATTGAGGATGATCATCTTGGAGTGCATGTTTTGCAAAAACATCCCAGCAATGATCTTCTTGTAAGTGCATTAGGCGATGCACTTTACTTGACCGCATTGTAGAAGCAACTTTCTCACTACGTGTTGTTACAAGAATTTTACTTCCGGATGCTCCAAAATTAAGAGGAGTTTGCACAGCTTCCCATTTCTCTCGTCTTTCATTCCACACATCATCCAAAACGAGAAAGAACTTTTTCCCCGACAGTTTTTCTTTCAGTCTTCCATGAGCCATTTCTAGGTTTCTACTATCATCTTTGGATTTAGTGATTGCCTCAAGAATTGTACTTGTCACCACCATAACATCAAAATCATCTGAAACGCAAACCCAAGCTTTGATGCTAAAATCAGCCTCCTCCATCCTTGGGTCATTGTACACATGTTGGGCAAGTGTGGTCTTACCCACTCCACCCATGCCCACAATAGAAAGTATTGATAACTGGTTACGATTGTCAGTTTCATATGTGATCCAATTAAAGATAGTTTCTTTGTCATAATCTCTTCCATAAATAACATTTTCAGCCACCAAGGAAGTTGATGCCAATTTTTGTTGCACTACACTGCCTGGTCGAAGACCAGAATAAGTAGCCTCTTTCAAACCAAGATAATCCTTTTGGCTCGCGAGATATTCTAGCTTCTCGAGGACTTGTTTCAAGCCTGAGTCAATTTTCCTGTTAAATGAACTGAAAGTAGAATGGAAGAAACTTGATACCTTGTTACTAAGGCTTTGAGATTCAGACTGAGCTTCCACTTCACATTTGGTGAGTTCATAGTCTATTTCATCCAAGAGGTCCTCTGCGTCAAGCACAGCATCTTTGACAGCAAAAAGCCATGCCTTGACCCGTGTATCTCGGAACTGCATTTGTTCTGCATCATCAGCAAGAGAATTGATGGACAACATTTTGATGTTCAATTTACTGAGCAGTGCTTCATCGAGCTTCCTTCGACGAAAGAAGTGTAGAACCTTAGGAGAAGCTAGCCTGTCAAATGCAACCTGCAGGAAAGCAGAAAGAAGTGCACCACCAACGCATGCTGCTGCCATTGTAGGAATAGAGAAGGAAGTGGATGAATTGAAATGAGTAATTTCAATCGCAGGTTATGACAATGGCTTGGAACAGTGCCCTTTTCCTATACGGAAGAAATACTGGAAGCTTGTGAAGAAGTCAACCGATACCTGTTGGGTCTTCATTGGAATTGACTGTATTTGATAAACGATTGAATGACTGACTTTGATTAAGATAAACGTAGATTTTTGGGGGATATTTTGCTTGACTTAGCACAAAAGATCTCATCGATTTCAAACAATACTAACGTAGAAAAAGAAAAAAAAAACTTGTTGGGGTGTGCAAGAGGGTTCCATGTGGTAGTTTGGAAGAGAGAACACGGGATGGGAAGAGAGATCAGGGAAATATATCACAGATGATGAAAAATGTCTCACTCTTTATTTTCACGCTTGCTGGTGAAAAGAGTTAATGATTCGTATGTATAAAGTCAACAAAAGAACTCAAATCAGAATGTATAGAACCAAAAAAATACTTGAATTAATACATTATTTTTCTCTCATTCAAGTACTCAAATATAACTCAAGTCTTTAGATTTCTAATTTTTCCTTTTTTATGGGTTTTGTAAAAACATCAGCCAATTATAGTTGAGTAGGATAATAGATTAGTTATAACTTTTCATTGTTAACTTATTCCCTAAATTGAAATATACTTTCTATGTGTTTGCTTCTACAATGTGACATAAGATTATTAGTCAAATTTAGTGTAGATTAATTATCAACAAACAGTTGGATAAGTCTTTTATTTTTAACCAGCTATAAATTTTGTGTCATAAGTAGATAATGCTACAACATTTTGCTTTTTGCTACACCAAGATATTGGTTCTCCCATAAATTTGAACTTGAAGCCGTTAATGTTCCTCCTATCACTATCATCACCACACCAGTCAGAATCTGACCAGCCAATCAATTCATCTTGCATCTTGTTGATTTTAAGAAACAATACTCTAAAATCTAATGCTCCCTTAAGATATCTTTGCACCCTTTTTGCAGCTAGCGAGTGCATTTTCTTTGGTTGATGCATGAATCTACTAAGTACTCCAATTGAAAAATAAATATCAGGCCTGCTGTTAAATAGGTATCTGAGTGATCCAACAATTTGTTTATATATGGTGTTGTCAACCTCGTCTTCATCATTTTTCGAGGCAATAATGTTTGCCTCTATTGGAGTTGTTGCTACATTATAGATTTCCATGTTGAATTTCTTTAGGATATGTGTGACATATTTTCTTTAGTGGAGAATAATTCCACTACTAGTTTCGACAAACTCAAGCCCAAGAAAGTATCTCAACTTTTCCAGATCAGTCATTTCAAATTTAACCATCAATAAGGCTTTAAATTTCTCAATTTATGAGATATTTCTTCTTATGATCAATAGGTCATCCACATAAATGCACATTATGAGTAAATTTGCATTATCTTAAAATCTTGAATAAACACCTATTCCATTGACATTTCACAAACTTGTGCCCTAGCATTAATGAGTCAATCACTTTATTTCATGCTCTTGGTGCCTGCTTCAAGCCATATAAAACTTTTCTCAACCTACCTTGTCTTCACACCCTTTGATCTCAAACCTAGGAGGTTGGGTGACATAAACCTCTTCTTTAAGCAGTCCATTAAGAAGAGTTGATTTTACATCTAATTGGAATAGAGGTCACCTTCTACCATTGGCCAATGCTACAACCAGTCTAATGGTGGTCTCAATCTTAGACAAAGCAGCAAATACTTATGTATAGTACAAACCTTGTTTTTGTAGAAATCCTTTGACAACTAGTCATACCTTTCGTTTGGAAATAGTCTCATTGGGATTAAGCTTAAGCTTGAACAACCATTTAAAGTCAATGCATTTTTTATTCAAAGGTAACCGAGTAAGTAACTAAGTCTGACTCTTCTCAATGGCTCTCATTTCTTCTAACATTGAAACTCTCCATAAATCATGCTTCAATACCTCTTCATGATTAACAGGTCTAGCCTTTTCTAATAAAGCAAAGTGCACCAAATCACCATCATCAGTTACTGCATTATTTGGAAATACTTTGAAATCCACCAATTACCTTGGTATAGTTCTCTGTCTTATTGTTCTTTATGCTTATGACTATGTAGGCTGCACCCCGTCATCAATTTGTCCATTCCCATTAGACTTACCATCTAGTCTCTCTTCCTCACATTCAAATGTTATTGAGACTTTATGTTTTGAACCATCTTCTTTACCTGACCAATCCCATATTTCAGCCTCATTCATCACAACATCCCTTCTTATACAAATTTCCTTTGTTATAGGATTGTATAATTTGTAAGCTCTAGTGGAATGATACCCTACAAATATCTTGACCTCACTTTTTATCTTTCACTTTACTTCTCTTCATAATTGAAACATGTTTGTAGCAAATTGAACGAAAAATCTTCAAATAATTCATCATTGGTTTCCTTTCAAACCATACACCTATTATGGAACTTTGTTTCTCAACTTCTTGGTTGGGCATTTATTCAGTGAATACACTACTTCTCCTAAAACCCATTTATTGGTTTGGAAGAGAGAACAGGGGATAGGAAGAGAGAGAGAGAGCAAAGGAGTATATCACAGATGATGAAAATTGTCTCAATGTTTATTTTCACGCTTGTTGACGAAAATAGTTAATGACTCTTATTTATAGAGTCAACAAAAGAACCCAATACATAACGTATACAACCAAAAAAGGATACTTGAATTAATACATCACTATGAAAAAACCTACAAAGTGTGATATATTTATTTGGCATACAACTTTCTGTAACACTCTAATTTTGAGATGTTACAGGTTTACAAAAACTTTTGAAAACGTAACTCTGATACCATTATGTAATACGGATTAAATAAAAGCTTCTATTTATTATAATTGAATTTAGAAAACTTCATAAACCAAATGTAACTATAAAGTGTTCATAGAATCTCATTACAAAAATATTTGCATTGAAATTAAAACCCTATAGTTCTCTCATGTATCTTGCCGCTCAACTTCGCTTTAGTTACATCTATAACAATATGTATTCTCATACAAGTACGATCATCGCAAGTGAAAACCACAACCATAACATGCAAAGGTGAGCGAACAGAAACAAGTCATAGAAACATACATATGTATTAACATCTACTTAGAATAAAACTTTTGAACAATACATATCTTCATACACCTACACATATCTTCACATGATATCACATACATCACCTTAAAACAAATGATTAACAACAACAATACCAACAATCAAAGTCATTAACATATAACCCTAACACTATTTCCTCAAAGTAACCAAGTTACCCAAACTCACTCAGTTAATCACAAGCTCATACCAATTTGTCTCACATAATTCACTATATATATTGAATCACTACCAGATTACTCGCATGCACCCATAAGGTCAATTGTCACCTCCCACCACTGTCTTAAAGAGTTTCACCAGGCCGGTACACTTTACCACATCATTACACAATGACATTTCCCATCACTCTCTAAAAGACATCATTGACAAGACTTCCCACCATTCTCTTAGAGCTTCACCAAACAAGTTTACACTTCCCACCACTCTCTTAGAGCTTTACCAGACAAGTAAAGTATACACCCTCTACCATTCTATTCTCAAAGAGCTTCACCGGGTCAGTAATCACTCCTCACCACTCTATTCCTAGAGAGCTTCACCGGGCAAGTACTAGTGCTACTCCCACAACTCTTCCAGGAGATTCGTAGGCACCACAAAAATAAACCCAATCATAATAGAATTAAACATCATCACACTCACACAATCACGCAACAAATCCATGCATATCACACAACAATAGACAATAATAACCAACCAAAAACATAGGTCAAATAACAATAACAATCATCATAGATCCATGCAAACATTTATCACAACCTACTCACAAGAAGACAAACGTGGTTAGTCTCCTTCATAAACATATACTCGTTCTCATCATTCATAGAATCATAACCAACCAAAACAAGCAAGGTCAGCTCACCTTAGCTTTAATCCAACAAAGAGTTCTAGATCTTCTAAGTTCTCCTAAGAGCTTGGTTCCTAAGGTTCTTCCTTAACAAAAAATAATGCCTTCCTCTCAAACCTCTCACAATTATCATAGGATTTTCTTTCTCTTTTTCCTGATGTCTAAGGTTTCTATGCTAACATAATATAAATAGAAGACATACCTATCTTTATTCAGTTTATTTTCTGAATCTTTATAAAAACCTATTATTTTCATAATACAATCAAATAAAGAAGCAAAAAGGTGTCGAGATAATGTCTTTGACCAAAACCTCTAAAAGCTTTAAACAAAGATTGAAAACTTATAAAAGAAGAAACATATTAAACGCTTAAGCTCTAAAGAGGCATTATCCTAAAAAGCGTTTATAATAAACTAGACGATAGCATAAGCTAAACCCTTTACTTCGTCAAACGATGAAGTTCTTACTTAACGAATGATATCTTTTAGGAAAACCTTAAATGATAAACGCTACCGTAACGATAGAAAATATTAAAAGCACTTTGTTCGTTCTAAACAAACATTGAATAACACTAAATGTTTAACGTTAAAAAAAAAGTGATAAGAGATAAGACATATATACTGCATGCACAATCTACTCTATTATATGCATATAACTTACTACACACATCCACTGTTTTATTTGTATCAGAAGTGGACGTTAAAGACAAAGGAGACATTCACGAAATATTCTTTTCACAAGAAGAAGTGTTTGAAAGGAAGTACAACCTACTTTAAGAAAAGTACTAAAAAAGGATGTATGCTCTGACAAGTTGACTTTAACCAACGACTACTTTACATGAAAGAAAGAGAAGACGCAAGATTCAAGCCCAAAAGCTCAGTCTAACAAATATCTTTTCAAAGAGCCTTTAAATAGAACATCATTCAAAGGAATAATTAATAGGATAACTCAAGAGAAAAACTTACAACGTAAATATCAATCCTACGAAAATTGTTTAGAAGAAAAGCATAGAAAAAGCTCAAGCAAAGAGAATATCTAAGCAGAGAAAGAAGAAAAGTCTAGCAATACTCTTGAGCTTCATTGTAATAGTTGTTTACTATTGTAAGAAAAGAGAAAAGAGAAAAGAGAGAAACGCCTAACGAGTCTATAGACTTATTGTATTATAAATATATCCTCTTTGTGAGAGTAATAGTCTAAACGACTTGTAAGAAATCGTTGATTTCTTCTGAAGAGAATTGAAATACTTGTTA